TCAGGACCCTTTCCTCCGTTTTATGAGCTGTGGAGAAGTTCCTGTAAAATAGTCTAATAGGGGATATAGGTGTTGTGTTGGTTGTCTCTTCAGAGGTTGCATGGCGTTTCACTTTCCTTCTTATGATGTCTTCGACGAAACCATTGGAGAAGCCGTTGTTGACTAGGACCTGCCTTACCCTACAGAGTTCTTCGTCGACTTGCTTCCATTCTGAGCTGTGGCTGAGAGCACAGTCGACATATGCGTTAACAACACTCCTTTTGTACCTATCTGGGCAGTCGCTTTTGGCATTTATGCACATTCCTATGTTCGTTTCCTTAGTGTAGACTGCAGTGTGGAAACCTCCGCTCTTTTCCATGACTGTTACATCTAGAAAGGGCAGCTTCCCACCCTTTTCCATCTCGTGTTTCACTTACGAGATGTGAAAAGAGATGTGAGAGCCCTCCAGCAAAGCTGTGGCTTCTTTGTCTACAATGGGGCTATATATATATATATATATATATATATATATATATATATATATATATATATATATATATATATATATATATCCTCTCTGTGCTCTAAAGAAAAAGGATCGAGGGATCAGGCCAATAGCTGTGGGCAATTCTCTCCGGCGTCTCGTCGCAAAGGCAGCTGCAAGAACAGTTAGTGATGCAGCGGCCAACATGCTGAAGCCAAAACAGCTCGGGTTTGGCATTCCACAAGGGTGTGAGGCGGCAGCCCATGCAGCTCGAGCCTTCATCGCCAACATCACAGACGAAAAGGCCCTTATCAAGCTAGATTTCAAAAATGCCTTCAATTTGGTGCGGAGGGATGCTGTACTCCGTGCGGTTCATAGTCATTTCCCTTCCCTCTACCCTTTTGTACATTCATGCTACAGTATGGATCTTAAACTACTTTTTGGCGAACATGAAATTGACTCGCGAGAAGGCGTCCAACAGGGTGACCCCCTTGCTCCTCTCCTTTTCTGCTTAGTCATCAAACAAGTCACAGAGATCCTGTCCAGCGAGCTTAACATCTGGTTCTTGGATGATGGTACCCTAGCTGGTTCCCAAGACTCCCTCCTGGAGGACATCAGAAAAATCCAGGAGCAAGGTGCAGTTTTAGGCCTCACCCTGAACCCTTCTAAATGTGAAATAATATGTTCCAACCAGGGCATCGTAGAGAGAATAGAGGGTCTTCTGCCAAATATCCATAAAACTAAACCTGAAGACAGCACACTCCTAGGAGCTCCCCTGGGGTTGAAAGCCATCGATGAGGTCCTTGATAAGAAAATCGCCGACCTTAAGAGGATGGATGGGAGGATTGAGGATATTGATGCTCATGATGCACTCTACCTCATCACCAGATGTCTGTCCCTCCCCAGGTTAACCTACTTTCTGAGGTGTTCACCATCTTACAGTAGCCAAAAACTAAGTGAGTATGACCGGTTACTGAAATCAATGCTAGAAAAAGCCCTTAACCTCTCTCTCGATGACCTACAGTGGAAACAAGCCTCTCTTCCCGTAAGACTTGGGGGGCCTCGGAGTTCGAACAGCAACGCAAATCGCTGTTCCAGCCTTCCTGTCCTCCTTATCAGCATCCGACGACCTTGTGAAGGAAATTCTACCTGCCCACTTACATCAGCTGGCAGGTGTACATGATCCCAATTTTACACGCTGTGCCACAGAGTGGGCCTCTCGTGCAGGCCAATCACCTCAACCACCATCCCCAAAATCCCACAAGCAATCCAGCTGGGATGGTCCCATTGTAGACCAAGTTGCTGCAGAGTGCCTGGGTGCTGCAACAACACAACACGACATTGCTCGCCTCACAGCAGTAGCAGCACCACATGCAGGGGATTTCCTGTTAGCAACCCCAATGTCGGCAACTGGCACGCGTCTCACACCACACGCCCTCCGAATTGCTGTGGCCCTCCGCCTTGCTGCCCCAATCCACACCAGATATAGGTGTATTTGCGGCGAGGTGGTGGCTGACAGGTACGGTCACCATGGCCTACTCTGCCAAAGCACAGGGGGATGGCACTCGAGGCACAGTGAAGTTAACGACATCATCAAGAGGAGCCTCACCACAGCTGGATGCCCAGCTGAAAGAGAGCCCCGTTACCTAACGCCCCGTAACTCTGATGCTCTTATTGGTCGCCCGGATGGTATCACAGTGAACCCCTGGAAGATTGGCAAGCAGTTGGTATGGGACTACACGTGCGTATCAACCCTGGCTAACACCTACATTAACCTCAGTGTTGCACAACCAGGTGGCGCTGCCACCCACAGGGAAGCAGCCAAATCCCGTAAGTATAGAGAGCTGGATCACCACTACAATTTTGTCCCCATTGCTTCTGAGACGCTCGGCGCCTGGGGTAAAAGTGCTACCAGTTTTTTGAAGGAACTGGGTTCTAGGCTCATTGAAACAACAAGGGACCCGAGAGCTGCAAGCTTTCTTTTCCAGCGCCTCAGTGTGGCGATACAGAGGGGAAATGCGCACTGCATCCAGGGTTCCTGCCCGCCATCTGAGGAGCTGGAGGAACTCGACAACCTATGACAACCATCTTTGTAACCCATATGTAACTCCTTTTTTGTAACAAAGTTCAAATAAAGTAAATATATAATAATAATAATAATAATAATAATAATTTTTATTTAGGCAAAGGTACATACATAAAGAGATTTTACAAAGTTTGTTGGCTTTATAGATAGGAGCTAGTACATACAATGCCTTAAAGCCACTATTACGCAAAGCGTTTCGGGCAGGAAAAAACACTACTGACTAAAGCTTAAAACTAATGGGTAAAAAGAAAAAAAATGCGTGTGTATATGTGTACATACAAAAGAATGGGGGTGGTAGGAGAAGATAATATTAGTGTTCAGTGAGAAACCACAAGGTCTCCTCTGAATACTTTTTATTTTCTTCTCCGAGGCTATGGGTCCCCACATTGGCACCAGAGGTGGTACCCTCACAAACTTTATATATATATATATATATATATATATATATATATATATATATATATATATATATATATATATATATATACATATATATATACATATATATGTAATACACTCTATAGTAAATCATTTCTTTTCTTCACCTTAAAAGTACGAAAATGAGTTTTGGAGAACTCCTATTTCAATTAAGCCCTGATGCTAAGAAAATAGTTAGAGGGATAGAAGCCCTAAACCACCAAATAATAAATACAGAATATGCGGTCATATTCAATGAAACATGTTTGAAAGAAAACCTGCTGCCAGTATACACCAATATATATATATATATATATATATATATATATATATATATATATATATATATATATATATATATATATATATATATTTAACAATACTCAAGGCATTAATTAGATAATTTTCGTGTTGTAATTCAATTGGCATATATAATTATCTACACTAAACGAACACAAGCACTTCAAAAAATAACCACACTTCTAAATGGGAAATATACAATATGCAGCAACTCCAAAAGTGGGTTTCAAGCCTTTACATACTACACAAAAATATGCAAAGAGCTTGTCAATCCATGCCTACAGCTTCCAAACACTTGGGCTGGATGGTAAAGCGACGGTCTCGCTTCATGCAGGTCGGCGTTCAATCCCCGACCGTCCATGTGGTTGGGCACCATTCCTTCCTTCTCCGTCCCATCCCAAATCTTTATCCTGACCCCTTCCCAGTGCTATATAGTCATAATGGCTTGGCGCTTTCTCCTCATAACTCCCTCGCTCCCTCCATGAACGTATTTCAAAGAGATATTACATAACTATCCAATGGGACCCGACACACTGTGAAATACTCCACAATGAACTTGTAGGTCAACTAGCAAGAGCGATGCAGGATACATCAAGCATCACACATCATCCTAATCCCCCATATTGCACGAAAAGGAGCCCTAAATTCCACCATCACTCAAGATTTTAGAGAGAAATAGGAAACAACCTGATAATTCTGTGAACACGCCAGGCATAAAGAACACAGAAATAGATATAACAATAACCAGACTATAAATACAGGACAGACACTAATGAACTAGGCATCCACTGCCATGTTCTAGAGACAATTGAACATTACCTCTTCACTGTTTTAACATCAAGGTCCAAGAATTAATTTAATCAAACTAGAAATGCTCTACAAATCAAGGGACCCAGAATGTGAAATGACCTTCCCAACCATGTTAAAGACTGTACCTCTCTCAACCAGTTTAAGATAAAAACGAAGCACTACCTAATAAATTCCCTGTAACCTACCTTACCCCTCTATTGTCAACCCATGTCTGTTTTCTTAAACAACGCTGTTTGTCGACCTAATTGTATTTGTGCTGCTTTTTCAACCATGTTTCCACATTTTTTTATCTTTATTTTTATTTGTTCTCAACACATTTTATTCTTTATACTCAATTAGTATTAAGTTTTAGTCATTAATGTTTTTCCTGCCCGAAACGCTTTGCGTAAGAGTGGCTTTAGGCATTGTATGTACTAGCTCCATCTATAAATCGATCAATTTATGTAAAATCTCTTGTATATACCTTACCTGAATAAACATTTTATTTTATTTTTTTATATGTAATAATATTGTGTAATATATGTATATTATTGTTTATATTTTGAATTGGATGTATAAGGGACAATTACATAGTTTGTTAACATATAAATAAATTGACAGTATCTTCCTAGGCTATCACACTAAAATCACTGTGATCTCACGAGACTAACATAAGCTACCTCCAGAAATACACCAAAATATCAATAACAACACATTCATACTTGTTCATAACAAGTAAAATGTTCTTGAAAATTTGGTTCAATACTTATCAAAATTTTACTAAAAATAATATGAACTGTAATTTGCCTCGCTCAGTCTCTGTTTCTTACATAATTATAAAGATAATGCCAAATATTTGTATTTGAATCATTTAATTTACTTTATATTTATTATTATCGTAATTTTTTGAGAACATGAAGGAAATGAGTGTCGCCTGAGGGAGGCAGTTACCGCTCACTAAGCGTTCCGAATCAGTTAGTTCGGATGTTGTTAACGCGGGATAACGTACCGAAGGTCATAGTAATCTAAATGGTTGTAAATATTGGCATTAATGATACAGTTTGACTGAAAACACACCTCAGCATAATGGACAAGAGAGGTCAAAAGCATACACTTACACTTAGCGAGTCTGGTAAGTCAGAGGCAGTCGGGTGAGTCACATTCATGACGCCATGCTTCATGCACCTCAGTGATCATGCAAGCTTATTGAGAGGTCGGTAATACAGGAGTACTCCTACAGCACTGCGGCTGTTCTGTTGGTTCAAACTGACAAGCAAATTAAGGTACATAAAGTCAGGTGTACGTCAGCGATGGTACCAGGACAAGTCGGCCCCTCTAGTACTAACACTTCCATCTATCTTCTTGAGGTTATCTTGAGATGATTTCGGGGCTTTAGTGTCCCCGCGGCCCTGTCTTCGACCAGGCCTCCACCCCTCTGGAAGCAGCCCGTGACACCTGACTATCACTAATCTAGCTAATCACACTAGTCTAGCTAAACTTTTCTAGTTATAGTGAGCTAATAATGATCCAACCTAGCACCTTTTGATAATTAGGTTAAGTTTATTTACAGGAAATTTTGTTTGCCCATTGCCAGGACAGAAAACTTGTTTAAACTCATTAAGGTTCCCCAAGGCCAATGGCCAGTCAGGTTGTACAGTCATTTCGACACAGCCCTTTTTTTTCATAATTGATAAAACTGAATGTATTGTTAGGCTGGGCTAGGTCATATTAGTTTTGGCTAGCTTAGGTACAGCTGAGTTGGGTAGGCAAGTTATATATAATCTGTTGGCAAAGTATTTTTGGTACAAGGTGATCTGTATCCAGGCCAATGACTGGCCTTCCCCAGGATACAACCCTCAACAGTCACTTAACTCCTAGGACCTAGATTCACAAAGCTCCGTGTATTTCTTTGCAAGTAGGTTTGCTACGAAGGTTCCCAAGTATGCTCCAAGATGCTGCTTACGTGCGATTCAGGAAGGTAAACTTACGAAGATATTTGGGTCTGGTTCACCTGCATGCAGAGGTCACTATTGTATTTCGTTTAGCCAATCAGAGAGCAGGCAACATTCTTCATCTTGAAGATTTAGCCAATCACGACGCTGGCTTATCGGAGCTCATCTGCGCCCTATTTACGTTGAATTTTCTCATAAAATTAGTATATTTCAAAGTAAAACTTTTTTCAACTTCTACAGGCAGCACCGACATTGTAGCAAACAAATGTTACATTTGTTGTTTACCTATGTAATTCTAAGAGATACTGTGTAGCTGTCCTTGTTGCTCGGAAGATGCGCTGTCAATTATTGTATATATTTACTGAATTTACCCAAGGGCCACTAACTATCTAGTGGCCTCTACGTGGACAATGCCGGCGGCTTATTAAAGGGCCCGCCAATTGTCTTAATGATTATTTTTTGCTGTAATTTGGCACTTACGGCTTCAGCGGGTAGCGGTTCCATGGGTTTATAACCCTCTTGGTGGAAAAAAACGTCTGTTTTCAGTCCTACTTGAGAGAACATACTCTCCAACACTATATCTGTGATTGCCCTGTTATCAGTGACTTCATGCCAAATGGTATGAGGTACTTTGAGCTCTAATTACTTCATACTCAGGAATATTGGAAGATATTGCAGTCTCCGTGGTGTAGTGGTAAGACACTCGCCTGGCGTTCCGCGAGCGCTATGTCTTGGGTTCGTATCCTGGCCGGGGAGGATTTACTGGGCGCAATTCCTTAACTGTAGCCTCTGTTTAACGCAACAGTAAAATGTGTATTTGGATGAAAAAACGATTCTTCGCGGCAGGGGATCGTATTCCAGGGACCATAGGATTAAGGACTTGCCCGAAATGCTACGCGTACTAGTGGCTGTACAAGAATGTAACAACTCTTGTATATATCTCAATCTCAAAAATATTCTTGTGCTGAACCCAGATTTTGCCAGTGGAGGCTAATAGATCAACCTTAAGTATTTTGTTCTCTCCTGATTCCATGTATGACTGGCCATCCTGTGAGGTGGGGATGTTGGATGAGCGTGTAGCTGGTTTTTGATCTACACTGTGTGGTCCTTCATACAGAATAAGGAAGCAGCACATTGCTTATTATACCTAAGCATGTTAAAAAATACATTGTTTGAGAGGAGTCTTGTAGAAACTGGTAAGAGTAATTATAATATAATGTTTCCATGATTCAGTGCTTCCCTCTTGTGAAAATCGTGAAGTTGTTGTTAAGTCAGAGTTGATTTGTTTTTTGTATTGAGGCTGGTATTTTCTCCCTTGATTCTATGCATGCTTAACCATCCTATGAGAAGAGAGTATTAGATGAGCTTATAGCTAGTTTTTTTTATCTACACTGTGTAATCTTCCATATAGAATAGGGTAGCAGCACATTACTGTGTATACCTAAGTTTCTTAATAAAAAAATATCAGTAATAAAGATGTTAAATTATACCTTGTATTATTACCAGTACAGTATTATCCTTATTAAATCATGTTAAACATGGATCATTAAGATATCATTTTGATATGTAATAGTCATATTTCTTTAGAATCATTCATTAAATTGTGCATTATGTCTTAATTTTTTCCACTAATTTGGATACACTGTACAAAAAGATAGAATAAAAATAAACCAGTAATATTTCTTTCATTATATTTTTTATTTAAATAACTGCATCAATATTTTTACAGCTTTGATATCCCCAGAGTCAAACTTAATCTGTGTAAACACTATGCAAATAAAAGGACCTAGTCCATGGAACTCACTCCCTAATGAGTTGAAAAGCTGTCCAACTTTTGCCTCCTTCAAAAACAAAACCAAAGAGTATCTAATTTCATCTTCATAGTTTTCTACCTTGTGCTTTAAAATTGCACTGTATATAGTGCTGCCCAATCCCAAAATTTGTATGTACAACTTTACCATTGTTATCATTGCTGTCTTCTTATATATACTATCAATTTGCTGTATTGTGCCTATTAATCTTTGTTAAATTATAAATCAAGCTGTCAATGCAATCAGAGCTACTGATGTACTTTAATATACCTACTACTCTCTCATTTCATTTTTTTCTTGCAATGCACCTGTTATCATTTTATAAATTTTGCTTGAATTTACCTACTTAAAATTATCAGTTAGATTAAGGACCTGCTCGAAACGTTGCGCGTTCTAGTGGCGTTACAAGAATGGAAACACCCTGCTATGTATCCTCACAAACCCAATGTACCTTCTTGTATATATGTAAATAAATAAAAAAATAAATAAATAAATTACTTATTGTTACACAGCCAAATTGTGCAACAGGAAGAGGTCTTGGACTCCTACTTCCCCCTCTCTTTTTTAACAGACCATAATAGTCCATACAGACATAATTATAGGTTAAAGTATTCAATGAGAGAAGTTTTTGAAGTCATTACCCTTCTTACCTAACATTATTTGTGCAGTGGAGCATTTGGTGATAGTAAATGCTCCCACCAGCCACCGTCTCATATTTCATGTTCACTAGTGTTTATTTACTTAATAACTACTGGTATAATATCTTGCTATTACAAAACTAATTCTAATATCATAACAGACATATTTACTGCAAGTTTCAAGCAGAGAAAGCATATACAGTATAACCAACACAAAGGACTCTTCTTCACGAGATTCGTCAACTATAATTTTTTGTTTATATTGCAATCGATCTTCCGTGTTGTGTAGTAGAGAAAAATGGAGTTATATCCAGTTTATGTAAAGCTACGAGTGGTTGACAACACTCTTAGCCAACGGAACAAACTTATGAAGGTTTTTCTTCTTAGTGTGCCTACCTGAATACCGACGTAGCCGCTACGAAGGCGCTAAGAAGAAAAACATCATTCGTAAGTACCTTCATGAATCTGGCTCCAGGTCCTTATTACTGTTAAGAGAACAGAGGCATAAGGTATAAGGAAATGTGCCCAAATGTCTCATCTTGCCCAGGACTGGTAGTAACCGAGTGATTGTAACCTATCCACTGTTGCCCACTGAATGGCCCCCCCCCCCCCGAGTGGTGTGCAAGATAAACATATCAATTGTGACACTAGCTTTCCACACGTCAGTTGCTTAATTTAGAAACCACTTGTGGTCAGTTTCGAGCCCCATTGTTGTTGTGACGATGTGCATTGAATTTTGTAACTAGCTCATCAAGATTGTAACTTGCTTAGCTAAATGAATTGTGGGGTTCAGTCCCTGAGCCCATTATGTGCCTCTAATCCTTTTCACTACTGCCCACAAGATGGGTATGGGGTGCACGATAAATGAACTAAACTAACTTGCCCAGGAATTTAAATAATTCAATTAATTGAGAATGACACCATGAAACCAGAACCATAAAGTTATTATGAAATTAATGTTGATTCCATCATGCTTTGCTTCTGTGCACCCAGCAGTAACTGGAAACCAAGGGAAGATGTAGAACTGAATAGCATAACTGGTTCTGGGGATAAAAATCACTCTGTACCCAAGACAGTTTACCAATGGATTTTGAAAAATAAGTAAATAAATTATTTATATATAAAGAAGGTACATTGGGTTTGCGAGAATGCAGGGGTCAACACTGCAGGTGTCACTTTTGCACAGAACACCACAAAACACTTGTGCTATCTTCTATCCTGGCGAGTCCACTTCTATCTTCTATCCTACAACACTCAAGGTACCGTCCCCTGAGCCTTTCTTCTACAGTACTCACGCCGGCAAGTCCACCTTTCTCAGTAAATCGTGAGCCAGTCCTCCACAGTATCACCACCGTGTCAAAACACCACTTCGACCCGCCAGCAACATGCTGGCTGGCTTTACCTAAAGCAGCCCGTCCTCTAAACAAAGGGCCAAAGTCCCTTCAATGCACCCACCAAACCCCCTATTTATGAATGAAAAACGGTTTTCACTCCACTCAACTGATGACGTTCCAACACTTCCAAAACAAGTGCTTCGGTGACTACTTTTGTTTGAACTACAATGCTGTAAATGCTTCACCTACGTACTACAAATAATCGCCAACAGAACTTAAACACCTAACCTAACCAATGCCTAAATATGCAAATATATAATATAATTTTTTTTTTTTTTTTTTAGAAAATTCTTGTTTTGAATGGACAGCATGTTTAAATTGATGAATGTGTCTTTGGGGGTCGACTGCTGGATGGAACGGACTTGGTCTGATTGCCTAAAGGTTTCACCTATAACACGACTTAACTTAGATGACAGATGGATGTTAATTCCATCTAGTACCACAACTGGGCCATCCAGGGATACGTCAGTCCAATCACAGTCTTCACGGTAATCACAGACAATTCACAGTTTTCACTGACTCGGCCCACGTGTTCCCACTGGAACAAGTCTTGATTTCAGGACTGCCCTTGGTAAACTGACTCTTTGTCAACCAAGGTACCCTCCACATCACTTTTGAGGAGTAAAAATTGTATAGTAAGAAAGAAATTACACATATCTGCAAGATTACAGACTTCCGCCAGGAAACAGAAAATGGGGACAGGTGCGCTCAACAGATGGCGTTGACATTGTCTCTCGCACACATGCACACACACACACAGCGTTTCGGGCTGGTCCTTAACCTAACAGATAATTATTGATAGGTACATTGTAGCAAAATTTAAAGAATATTTTAATAGGTACATTGTAGTTAAATTTGAAGATTATAAATGCATGTAGGTACATTGTAGCAAAAATTTGTATTCAGCATAATAACTACAATATAAGTTGATGACAGTGATTACAATGGTGAAGTTGTATGTCTTAGGCACTAATATTGGGGGAGTGGGTAGCACAAGATACAGTGCGAGTTTGAATCACCAACCCAAACCCAACTCTGCCTAACCTGGCCTAATGTCAAACTCTCATGGGAAAATAATATATCACTGAGGTTTCAGTTTGTTCTGATTGGAGCATAGCCTACGTATTTGTTATTGGAAAAGGTGAAAAATTTACATTTAAATTGTAATATAAATCCAGATAACTATTAAACAAATTAAAGGATTGTGAATTGTGTTATTATACACAAGTATTTAATATAAGTATTATACTGTACTAGTTATTTCATCCATATATTTTCATTTTAAAAATACTTCCTATATCACATATTATTTTTTACCACCACACAGCACAATTAGCCGTATGCAATCTTCATCATACATTATCATAGGTTAAATCAAGTTGATTTCAGGTTACATCATACAGAGATTGTTCACCGACAAATTTTAAAAGTTTCCTAATCTTCCCTAACCTAGTGGCCCAAGGTGAATGAAATATTACCTGAAGAGAGTTTCGGGAGTTCTTCTACTCCCTGACCCCAGGCTGGGGCCAGGCTCGACTACATCCACAGTAGTGTGGTAGTGTGTTAATCCACGGTAGTGTGGTATACAGTTTATATGACTTGGGGCATGAAACAAGATGAAGCAAGTAGTAGTACTAGAAATTATAGTACTGTACATTAAAGTACAGTAGTAACAGAAACTGATGGCATCCATGTGCTAGCTTTCATATTTGCTGATAAATTTAAGCAGTGTGTATAAAAAGAAAATATGCCTTGAGTAAATATAAAAACTTTGCAACTATTTGCTAGTTTTTAAAATATTTGAATCTTCAAATTTATGCCTCACCGTATAATATTTTAGTTTTTAAGTTGAGAATTACAATGCTTACCTTTCTTCACAGATACTTCATCAGAAGAAGAGGACTCCTCAAGTGTCTCATTGGAAGGAGCGAGGAAACAACCTCGCTTAAGCATAGATTTGGATGACAGAGATTTTACAGATACTGAGGATGGAGGAGGTGGTTGGGATGTTGCAAATGCAGCGGAGGAGACCAAGAAAACGAGTGGCTTGGCTAATAACAGCAATTACAGCAGCTTTGCCCAACGGATGATGGTAGGTTTGCCCTCTATTTGTTTATAAGAAAAAATTGTGGTAATCTTGGTAAATGTGTACATTTTATTTATAAATTTTTATTTTTCAGTAAGACAGCAGTTAAATAGTTAAAGAAAAATGTGGGAAAACATTTGTAAAGACCCATATTGAATACCAGTAGGTATATTTGGGTGAAAATGGGATTCTTCATTATAAATGTTTACAGTAAAAAAAAATATATATATATATAAGCAGAATAAATAATAGTCCTGTACTCTGCTCACCTGAAGAAGACTTTTCTGCTTGAGGAGTTAATTGTAGTTATAAATGGTGATGTTGCTTTATACTTGAGTAGAGTAGAAAGTAGACTACAGTTGAAACTGCATTAGTTATGACAACTGATAATTTTGTTTCTGTAAGCACAGTTACATCTTTATTTTCTTTATGTGATCTTTCCCAAAGTTCACTTGCTTTGTTTGTAATCCCATCAGTGTACATTAAAACTTGCTTTATTCTGTCCATTCTCACTTATAATCACCCTTGACTTTCAATCTGCTGGTGTGGGAAACTGGTATGTGGCTGGGTAGTAGAATGACCTTATTACATGATGATGTGGGTGATGGGGGAGGTGGAGCAGGTGTTTGGTAGAGGGAAGAGAGGCACTGCTGGCCATGGGGACGGAAGTTGTCTTAGAATATGAAAGCAGTATCTTGGTGTGTCTGAGGGTGGGTAGTGGAGGGATTTAGTTTTTGTTAAGGGTTATGTAGGGATTTTGGGTGATTCTTACTTATCTTCTGTATGTACTGGTGTACTTTGCACCAGTACATACAGAAGATAAGTATGTACTAGTGCTGGGTGCAGGTAGGTCATGCAAGAGGGAGGGTCAGTATTGGATGAGAGGTGAGGGTGGTGTATATTGGAAGGTGCTTCCTGGAAGGTTGGAAGTTGCTTAGGCATCTGTTGTGCTCTTCTGTGGTGTTGCTGAACTGTTGGTTATGGGATCCCAACCCTCCTCTGGAACTCAGATATGGAATGTAATTTCTCCAATTCCCTCCCTTCTCTCTGAGCTTCATCATTGTCTTGGCTGCTGTAGTTCTCTCTCCATTTGCCATGTCCATTTATAGAAATACTAGTATGTATCTTGGTACAGTACATTAAAAAATGCTCTTTTCTGGAATTAGCCCTTTTTGCAGCCTCATTTGTGAACACTATTTTTATCAGTTGGTTTCTTTCCTTGTACCTGCTTAGCTGCATTGATCACATTATGCAGTTCAACCTCCATTGCTGTTGCTGCACCAGCCTTGTTGCATACTTCCACTGTCAGTTTGCTATTATTTTGAGCTAGTACAGGTATGTTACACCATATAGATTCTGAGGATACCATGGTGTTTAGTTCCTCACTGTTGGCTGCATTCAAAATCCTCTTTTATATATAGCATTATACCACCTGATCTTGTTCTGTCCTTTCTGAATGGTGGATGGTATCCTGGGAGATGGAATTTCCCTTCCATTATGTCCTCTCATTCCCATCTTTTGATGATGCCAGTGATGTCGGGATTCTCAGCCTCTATGTGTGCGCACAATATATTAAATTTTTTTACTAGGCTTCTGGCATTTGTGTAGAAACAAAGTTGTCATAGCCTTCTGACATCACTGGTACACTTAAGTTATCTTCTTTATGTAGTAGACTGATATATAATGCATGTTTATATGGGTTCTCTTTATTGTTGATATGCAAATTGTCAATATTATTAATTACCAAGTATAGATAAGTAGCTCCGATGGTAATTTCTATGGGTTTTGTCAGTGTTTACAATCAGCAGGCTCGGTCTTCCTTGGCTGGGGTGGGGCTGACTCAGCTGGAAGATATCGTTCTTATTGTTCTCTTATTGCGTGTGGCATTAACAGTGTGCTCAAAATGTTGTTAAAGCTGTGAGTATGATGAGTTTCCCTACTTTCTTAGTGAACACTTCCCACCCTTTAAAGTAGCAAATGGTGGTAATAATAATGGTAATGTATATGATAATTATATATTTTTTGTTCTTCAGAAAAATATGGGTTACCAGGAAGGCAAAGGCTTAGGTAAGTATGGACAAGGTCTTGTAGATCCTGTGGAAGCAAGCAGACAAAGAGGACGTAGAGGTCTTGGTCTTCGACTTGAAGGTCTTGAGGCATCTACCAATCTGAATTGGGACAGCAGTCAAGAGGTGGGTACACATAATTAGAAAATACATTAATATTCTTGAAGAAATTACAAAAATATATATACACACACACAATATAATATATTATGTTATAGGGGTAGATTGGAGTGGGGGATTGGTATAAAAAGCATTAATTGTAATAATTTTGTAGTAATAGTTGGCTTTACAAATTTCAGCATATTCAAGTTGAAGAAGAAGTTGTTTGGCTGCCACAGTGTCCTGATGTTGTACCTCCTGATTTTGATACTCTCTTGTCATGGTCTCAAGATGGCAAAAAAAAGCTAGATATTACTGATGAAACAAACTTCTGTGACCCAAAAATTCTTGAGGGCATACTCAAAGCAAAAGTATGTTTATCATTTTATTCATCAGTTTAGTCATTTAAACCCTAAAGTACAGCTGTGGAAATACACACATGTCTGATCAGATGGGGGAAAAAACATTCCTAATAAAATTATTAATTTAAATATAAAATGTAAGGACAAGAGAAAATGAAGTGAATGTCTATATCTTTACTGGTTAGGTGAGGTGGGTGGCAGACACGGCTCTGTCAGTGGTAGACATGAGAGGTTTGCTGAAACATGTGAAAATAAGGATGTGACGGCGTTTCTGTCCGTCTTGGATAATTAGCAAGTGATCCCTCTTCTACTATGTCTCACTGTAATCCGTTCTACAAATCAACAACCTGGTTTCCAAACAAGTATTTAGCCAGGTCTTTCTTAAATCTAAACATGCAGTTTATTTCCTTTATTTCATTTTCACTTTTGTGATGCTATATTTAATACCTAATATCTTCCTCCTTGTTATGCCTATTCATCCAATTGTATACTTTGATCATGTCACCCCTAATTATTCGCCATTCTAGAGAATGTAAATTAAGTATTTTCAATATTTCTTCATATGGAAGGTAATCTGGTAATTACTGGAATTAGCTTTGCCAACCTTTGCTGAACATGTTCAAGTGAATTTATGTTCGTTCTGTAGTAGTAGGCATCCTTCAGTCTCGGAAGACTATGGAGTTGCACCCTGACAGGGCGCAAAGCCTGGGTAGGTAGATATGGAGGAGAAGCTGTTACCCATGCAGTAGGTCCCCCCTCTCCACGTTGCTGAAATTATCCAATAGAAAGGCAAATGCCAATACACATGGTTCCAGCAACGTCGCAGGAGCTGCCAGAACGAAGTTGACGTCAACAACGAATTGCCTTAGGGGCTTCAACTCCGGATTTTTCCTCGAGGTTGACTCCTGAAGCCTTTCCCAAAACAACCCGTTCTCGCAAATTCGTAAAGTCAATATTGACTTATTAACACTTTCGCGCTTTATATTAGAGATAACTCGTCACTGGTTTTTCTTACGATTCCGCATAACTGCCTACTTTTCTCGTCAATCGAAAAAATATTTGTATAAATTCCATTTTTTAACCGAAATGGATGGGGATACTTTTGTTTTGTAGAGAATTTATTTGCGAATTTTTTGGTACCAGAATGAATATTATATCTCATAAACTTCTATGAGTAAAAAAAAAAATACACAAAGTATGTTTGGGGGTGTGGCGAGCGTGTGGCAGTGGGTTCCCTTTAGCCGTTGATATATCCAACACGTGGGAAATATTTGTATGTGTTATGTATATGTCTGTGTAGGGAATTTTACTGCGATCACTGTCATACAAATTATAAAATGTTTCAACAAGTATAAACATGACAAACATCAAACGAACGAAAACAATGCGTTCGTTTCTGCCGCGAACGCATACTGAGCGACGTGGTTCTATATTTGGCGCTTCTCTTACACATGCTTTGTACCAATGTTATACAGTTCATCTTATAGAAAATTTTATTGCGAACACATTGGTATAAAAAAGAAATACGTACATAGAAAAGTAGGGTCAGGAAACGTATAAACTTTCCAAGCATGATTTCCCCCCTGTGTTTTCGCCAGTGCGCTCGCGGCTAACTACTCTCCACTTCACACACTCTTGCGGGTGGGCAATTACCTATATTAAACATTCATATGCATATGTCCGTGTAGAGAATTTTATTGCGATTCCAATGATACCAAAATTAGCGATGTAGGACAACTGTAGGCTTCGCAACCATTAAGAAAGTGGAAACATTTTGTTGCTGTTTGGCGCTCTCGGCGAGTGATCTGCATAGTTTTTTATTTGGTGTTGATACTCCTTATGCTTGGGCGGCATTTTATAGGTATGCTCTTATAGACAATTTCATTGCGAACAGTGATACCAAATTTAAATACGTACGCCTTCAATTCTTGTCAGGACAGTCAAAAGAGTGTACACTTTTTCGGTCTTACCACGTAGGCGCGCGAAGTGCCGAAAGCATCTGGGGTATGGTTTTTTTTTAGCGCTGAGAGCGCGAAAGTGTTAACTACGTGCATAGGTGATATACTAAACATAATAGATACCCTTAAAAAGATTCATAGAAAACACCGACCTTACATAACCTTGTTAGTATCTTAAGATAAGCATCTTATTGCTTCGTAATTACAATTATTATTTAACCTATACCTATTATAGGTTAGGTAATAATTGTAATTACGAAGCAATAAGATGCTTATCTTAAGATACTAACAAGGTTAGGTAAGGTCGGTGTTTTCTATGAATCTTTTTAAGGGTATCTATTATGTTAAGTATGTCACCTATGCACATATTTAATAAGTCAATATTGACTTATTAAATTTGCGAGAACGGGTTGCCCAAAAAAGGGGTATGGCCGCAAGGCAGCGGAGGTTTAAAATCAGGGTTTTCCTTCCCCTAGATGGGCTGCCTTCCCAGGCTATCGAGTCCCATCTACCCGGAGCAGCTGGTGTTAAGGCGCCAGAGGCACGCCCTCGCCCCTTCTCCTGTCAGTAAAAGCAGTTCTGCCGGACTTAAAGACTAAGCCACCTGTGCAGGCCAGGAGTTGGACTTGGTTGTCAGAGACTATTGGAGATGCATGCCATATAGGAGCATTTTATAGGTCATGGGAGCTCGTTCCCCATTACCACCCCCTGGCTATGACAACCCCTTGGATCCCCTTGAACCTCTGTAGTATGGTAACCAAAATTGAACTGCGTATTCTAAATGGAGCCTAACAAGAGCAAGATACAGCTAAAGAATAACATACAACACATTAAGTGTTCTATTGTTTATGCTTTTCAAAACGATTCCAAAGTATCCTATTTGCCTTATTCCTAACATTTATGCATTGATTTTTGGCTTTAAACTTGATTTCAAAATGTTCACAAATGAATTTGCTAGAGCAGAGATTTTCAACCTATTTAAAGACATGGCATACTCAACAAGGCACTGAAGTACATAGTTCAAGGCACTCTATCAGTTTCTTTTCTGTGGGGAGCCCTGGAGGCTCCCTGAAGCTATCAAACTGACACGTGCCATGTTAGTTTAGCGCCATCAGTCCCTGGAGTTTGAGTGCCTACTGGGGGCCATGAGCCAGAACCTGTAGCCCCTCAGAGAGGTGCAGGGAGCAATGGCCATATGAGCACTATAGTTTGTCATATCTGTCATCGACTGGGAATATTTCACCTACCAGATAGGTAGACGAAACAATACAAACCTCTAACTGGTTAAAATTGCAACCTTCGTTCAAACAGAGCCAAAGAACTCCCCTTCCCCCAAAGAAAACAATGAAAACCAGCAAATCATCATCTAATTAGTGCCCCCGCTCCCCTGACGGGGGATGGGGATCCCGCTCAAGCGAGCTGGCCGCTCCACCCTCATTTCATTGACCGATGTGCCAGTGTCTACACATCTCCTCTGTCCTCGATTTATTAACACTTTCGCTCACCCCGCGCGCCACCCCTCAACTATGCGATATGGGACCCAGGGTGTCACCGGAGCGCTCGAAAATTCTGAAAAGTGTATACTCTCTTCAACTTTGTCACCTTAATTCTCGTCCTACGAGATTAAATTTGGTATCATTGTGTTCGCAATAGAATTCTCTACAGCACTAAATGCATATAAACTCCAAAAGCCCGGCTAATTACCCGCAGCAAACAGAGAAAGTGCGAACGAGTTACCCAGGAGCGCGCAAACGCGATAAAATGTTTTCACTATTTTCACTCTGGTCACCTCAATTTTTGTCCTAGGCCTTTCATTTTGGTCTCAATGGGTTCGCAATAGAATTCTATAGAGGAACATTAGCATATAAAATATAAAACCTGGTCACACTCCAACCGCCGACGAGTTGAAGACGGGCCACGCGTTAGCCGGGAGTGAGCGCTCAGATGCCTTCCAGCTATACTCCCAATTCCCTCCCTTTTCAAGCCTTTCTTTCGCAATTTTCTTCCTGGAAGGGCCTTGTTCATGATCACTATCCATCGTGGAGTAAGGGTAGATAGTTTCTAAAGCCGCAGTAAGAAATATAGCCACGGAAAATAGCCGAAAAGTTCACACGTTTGAGATGCAAGCGGAGGCGACATTGGTCACAACAGTGGAGCGAAAACAATGGGCCCACGGCGTGTGCCAAGCCACCTGAGGGCCACGAGGCTCAACAAAGAAAATGGGAAGACATCGGCGCACATTTTAAAACCAGTCCCAAAAAAATCGGATAAAAACCTGATTTTTGGTAATTATTTAAAGTGGATGACGCAATGCTGCGTCATCCCCGGTATTACCGACAGTAAACGGATGACGCAATGCTGCGTCATGCCCGGGCGAAAGTGTTAACTGGCTTTAATGTTTGTGGCTTTGCCAGCTGTGTGTGTGTGTGTGGTGGTGGCCAGATGTTCTTCAAGTTTGCTGGGCTGCATGTGCCTGGGGCTATCTTCCCTAGGTGCCTAGTAAGTACTTCCCTTGCATGTTAGGGTTTTCTTCCCTGGGACAATCGGGTCTCACTTCTGTCTGAGGGCTTCATTTCTTGGCATTTGTTTTCGCCCTTGGGGTACGTTGGGAGTCTTGGGCTTCCCGTCTTGCCCCAGGTAGGGAGTGGGGGTTTTACTGGGTGGGGCGCATTGTGGCCTGTGCAGCTTGCATTCAACGGTGGCCGATTGGTTTGTGTTGCTTCGGGGTTCTATTTTGTTTTGTTTGTATTCTTGGCGCGTACTCGCTTATTTTGGCAGAGGTGATCTGCTTAGCTTCCCATTATGCTAGCCTAGGTTGTGTTGGTGGTTCTCCTCTGTTGCCCCAAGGTTTCACGGTTTGCCTGCAGGAGACGGGTTACCGGCTTAGCTGGCCCCAGTGCATGGGCTTCCCGTAGGGCTAACGTACTCTACGGGCCCTCGAAAATACCGTTGTCCTTGGGGATTCCATGGACGTGTCTTTCGATCCCTGTCTCGCCTTGTGCGACACTGAGGGTTGTTCATTGGCTCTGCCGCCTCGTGGTGACAATCATC